TACTTGAATGGAACCAGCCAAGATAAATACTAACAGGAAGTTAATGGAAGGATCAGAACAGGAAATCTTCAACAATGGCATAATATCACAATAAAAGTGATGTATTATGTTGGAATTACAGAAATTTAACCTCAATAAAAAAAATCTCATGAATTAAGGCATGAAGAAAGCCACCTACAAATGACAAAATGATTAGCCAGGAACACAATTTATTGGTCATGGTCACTGGATAAAGTAGAGGTTTGCAGATAGCTACATAACGATCATAGGCCATCGCAGTCAAAAGAAAGCATTCTGTGGTTGCACTGACTGCAAAAGAAAAGAACTGTGTCAGGCATTCAGAGAGAGAGATCTTCATGTTGTGAAATAACAAAGTGACCAGTATTTTGGGTGACACAGTAGATGATACCCAAGTATCCACAAAAGCTAAACTACTGAGGAATAGGTACATGGGAATGTGAAGGTGAGGGTCTTTCCAGATGAGAGTGATCAAGCCAAAGTTTCCTGTAATGGTAATGAGATACATCACCAAGAAAACAAAAAAGAATGGGACTTCCCACTGAGCTTGGAGTGGCAATCCTACAAGGACAAAGTCTGTCAGCACTGTTGCATTCTTCCTTTCCATGACCTCACTGGATGTCCTCTGAAAGGAAAGTGAGTGAACATAAAGAAATTCCATAAGTGTCAGAAGAAAAGGACCAGAGGCTATACATGAAGATGTTTTGTAAACATGCAATTCATTTGGCGATGCAAAGAGTTAACTGTGAGCTAAAATCAAATTTTAGTTTTCGGCATAACTTGTGTTATGCCAATCCAATCAAAATTTGGATTTTAATTTTTATTTACAAACCTTGTGTTTTTCATAAATGTAATTCCACCAGCCAAATACTCTTCATATTTTGATTTTCCCCTCATTTTGATTGTTACAGGTATTAAAACTAAATTACTGAAACTATTATGTTATTTTTGGAAACATAAAGGCCAGTTAGGCTGCCAATAAAAGAAAACATTTTACAAACCTCACAGACTGGTTGATGAGTTGTGTCATCTACACGCAACTCAGAAGAAAAATTAAAAATAAAATAATTTTCCAACCTACTGTAAGACTTAAGAGATTTCAGAATATCCAGTTTGCTGGCCGAGCGGTGGTGGTGCACGCCTTTAATCCCAGCACTCGGGAGGCAGAGGCAGGCGGATCTCTGTGAGTTTGAGACTAGCCTGGTCTACAAGAGCTAGTTCCAGGACAGGCTCCAAAAACCACAGAGAAACCCTGTCTCAAAAAAACCAAAAAAAAAAAAAAAAAAAAAGAATATCCAGTTTGCTATTTACCTGGATTTTTACATGGATTTACAGATTAATCTGTGTCACTTCTAAGCTAATATGAGTCACTGCAACCTGCTTATCTTCAAAATTTTCTTCAACTAGCTATACCTCCTATTGTGTTTTGTGTTCTTTTCATTAATTCATTTACCTGTTTATTTATGTTGATACAGGATTTCACCACGTTGCCCTGACTGGCCTTAAACACATAAAGATTCTTTAACCTTTGTCTCCCTTCTTAGTGCTGGGATTAAACACATGTGCTATGCCTAGTCCTCTTTTCCTTGATAGTTAAAAAGAATGTGTTCTTCCAATCTACAAATCTAATGTACCTAATTAAAACTGCCTTTACATCTTTCTAAAATATACACTCATTTTCTTAGTTTATGAACATTACTTGAAAATACTTTCATCTCCAACACTTCTTTTGGAAGAATAATGTCAAGTCAATTGTAAAAGCTGAAACTGGCTGTATAAATAACCAACAATTTGAATTTGAATTTGTAGGCTTAGTTCTATGAAAGTTCAAGTCACAAAGAAATTTAGGTTTCTAAAATACTTTTATGTATGCATAATTTCTAAAGTTATAGATGGGAAAAGAACAGTTGAGATACATTTTCTGTATGGCATCTTGTGTGTCTGTAATATACAATGCAATTGTTACAAGAAGTGGGTGAAAAAACTAAGAGCTTATATTTTACTGCCACATCAAATATTTGTTAAAATGTACTTAATTAAAGAGTATGATCTTTGTATCATAAACAATTAGGATATATCACATAAGAATCATTGTATGTGCATTTTTAAAATGAATTACATGTTTCCATAATTTATCTTATAAGGTTATTATAGTTAGGTTCACAGGTAATAAATAGCAATTAAAGAACAACTATGGCTGGAATTTAAGATGAATAAAAAGGATAAATTAATCACTTAGAGACCTATTTTGCTTTCTCTGACTTTAGTCATAAAAATAAAATTTATTATTCTAATCGATTTCTATATTTACTTTTCTCTTTGAACAATTTATAAATGTGGTCTTAAGTTAGTATGTATTAAACAAAATTTTAACTTTTTAAAAAAGATTTATTTATTTAATATACACTGTTCTGTATGTATGTATGAGTCTTCCAGAGGTTCTGAGTTTAATTCCCAGCAACCACATGGTATCTCACAACCATCTGTAATGAAAATTTTAACTTTTTAATAAATAGTATAATTATTATATACATTATCTCTTTCTTACCTATATCCTAAGAAGAATCAAGGAGAAGTTTAAAAGCCCTAGGTTTCATAAAGTAGGAAAGTCCAATTTTAACACAGAAGTGAGAAAAGTATAGGTAGCAGTGTTTGCATGCTGATTCATTTAGAGGCTGCATTTCTTAAGCGAAGGAGAGGTTTCATGTATAAATACACCTTCAAAACAGAACCACAACAATTGCACAACTATGTGCTTTTACCAAAAGACAAAGGCATGACGAAATTGATTCCCCAAGAGACTTTATTGGGAAATCCCTTTAGGAAAGTGACTGCTCTCTTAGGCATTGTAGAGTTGGACCATCCACAGAAAAGCTCCAGCAGTTCCACTGGGTTTTGCAGCCTTTGAAATCATAAACTTGACATGAATGCACATCATTGAGTTGTTAGAATGTATATTATATTGCAATTTATTTTTTGGTTTTCTGCCTTAGGGTAGAATTTAGAAGACTTGACAAGCTTTTACATTTTCAACCTCAAGTAGAAATTGTTTAGACAAATCTTCCTTCACGTATAATATGTGTTCTTTCTACTTTGACTTGTATAACTCTGAGCTAGTCTAAGCATGGTTTTAGTAAGTCCAAAGATCTAGATGCCCTTCTGGAGTCAACCTAAGATGGAGCTGGTAGAGAATGCTAGCTCAGGTCAGCTTACTCCACCAGTTCAAGCTTAAATCTAATGGGAAATTGTACTAATGAATGTCAAGGGGAAGGAGAAGGGCAAGAAAAAAGACAAGGAGAAGGGCAAGAAAAAAGACAAAGTACCTCGATGGGTAGTGACTAGAACTCTGCCTCCCAAATATGAATAGCACCAAGCTTTAAAATAGCCCATTAAAAACATGTAAAATCTGCTTCAGTAGTAGGGTTGGGTTCAGATCCTCCCTCTGTGATATGGTGATCCTGTGGACATTGGCCAAGCATCTATAAAGCAAAAACCCTTGAACTTTGATTAAAGCAGGTGCAAATGCACATGTAAACCAGTTGCATTTTCTAGAAAGAGGGAAGTGGGCAGCTGCACAAGAGTTTCAGGGTAGGACAGTAACTGTGTAGCTCTAGCACAGAGGAAGGTTTGACAAAATTTTACATGATACTAAAAGAGTACAGAATTTCCCTTGAGTATTAGCAGAATTTTCCATAAACATTCAATGAAAACAAACAGTTCAGTTTACTTATTGCTGCATTTATTTACATTTGAAATTTGCATAGTGGTCTGAAACTCCTGACAGTAAAATATTTTTGTTTATTTGATAAAACTATCATTTTGAAGAAAGTAAAAAGCCAAAAGGTGTTTCCTTTTTTTTTTGAAGACTGACTTTTTTGATGGTCAAATCAAGGCCATTTCCTTTATATTGTGCCACTTTTGTTTAATTAAATCCATCCAAACTGAACTCTTCCATTTTATCCTTTAGCTTTCTGACTGATACAGTTATAGGTACTGCCTATTAACATTCAGTGACCTACTCAAGAAAATATATGGTATAATTAACAAAAGACTCTGTATGAAACCCAGGATTGCATATGATGTATATGGGGAAATTTGAAGGGAGAAGTTGGAGGTAGATATGATCATATGGTATTGTATTCTAGTATAAAGTTCTTGAGAATAATGAAAAAATAAAAAATATACAAAATTATTAAAATAAATAGATATATAGATATAAAACAATAAACCGTAGCAAAACCAGGTAAGATAATCCTCCCTACAAAAAGAGGCCTTTCAAGACATTATAAACAAAGAAAAGATAAGCATCTCTTCTCATGGGCAGATATAGGGTAAGTTAAGAGAATATTAAAAGTTTGGTCTTGCATTTAACTGCCTTTTTCTTTATTATTGTGATTTATTTTCTATTGATTTTTCTATGATATGTGGAATTTCTATAAGCACTAAAAGTCAAAGAAATAACTTAGGTAAAAAGTTTGAAGAGCTGGTAGATTTCCTATTTTTTTGTTTGTTTTGTTTTTCATATGCCTAAACATGAAAATAGAAAATAGAAGCTAAACACACAACGGATAAATACAATTAAAGAGTTCAACCTAGATGGCCCTGTCTGCTGTTGCACATATCCCACTAAGTCTTCTGGAAAGAACCAGTATTGCTTTTAATAAGTACTGAATTAGTAAAGCCACATGGAAGAACACATACACCAGTGGAATGTTTTTTTTTCTACTTTATTTAACACGACATAAAGACTTAATGAGATTCTTCAATATTTTCAGATTAGAAATACTAATATTTCAAGGATTTTATTGGATATGTTGCCTTATCATTGTTAACACACTTGAAAATTGATTTAACCAGAGTATAAAAGAAATATAATAATTATAATTGCAAAAATCTTTGAACACTTTCCAAAACAAAAATATACAAAAAATGGAAACATCTGTGGTTGTTTATAGTGAATATGAATAAGAGACTTTTGAGACCTAAACATGCCTCTCTAATCTTTTTTTCAGTGAATCCATGACTTGCTTGTTTCTCAGGCTGTAGATAATTGGGTTTAGCACAGGAATTATGACAGTGTAAAACAGAGAGTCCATCATACCTTGATCATCTCTTTGTTGAGATGCAGGGAGCACATACATGAAAAGAAGAGGGCCATAGTATAAAGACACAGATAAAAGATGGGCTCCACAGGTGGAGAAAGCCTTCCTTAGGCCTTGGACAGACTTCCTCTTTAAAATTGAAAACAGAACCAGTGTATATGAAACTAGTACAGTCATAATGGTGAACACCTGTATTGAACCAGACAAAATAAATACTAATAGAAGATTAAGAGTAGGATCAGTACAGGAAATATTATACAAAGGCATAATATCACAATAAAAGTGATGTATTATATTAGAATTACAGAAGGTTAACCTGAATAAAAATAATACGTGAAACAAAGAATGAAGAAAGCCACCTACAAATACTGAAACTAACATTCGGATGCATAGTCTATTGGTCATGATTAATGGATAAAGTAATGGTTTGCATATGGCTACATAGCGGTCATAGGCCATTGTCCCTAAAAGAAAGCATTCTGTGGTTCCACCAAATGCAAAGGCAAAAAATTGTATCATGCATTCAGAAAGTGATATTATCTTAGTCTTGGATAACAAGTCAACCAACATATTAGGAGTCACTGTGGATGATATCCAAGCATCTACAAAAGCTAAACTCCCTAGGAAAAAGTACATAGGGATATGGAGGTGGGGGTCACTCCAGATGAGAGCAATCAGACCTAGGTTCCCCACAACTGTGATGAGATATATCACCAAGAAAAGCAGAAACAGGGGCACCTTCAGTTCTGGATGATCAGTGAGTCCTGTGAGAACAAACTCGGTCAGCAGTGTTGCATTCTCTTTTTCCATATGTTGTTCACTGGACTTTACCTGAAATGAAATAAAACAAGTATAATAGAACACTCACTAATATTTTAAGGTCAGCATGGTGAAAGGAATTCATAAGAAGTCAAATCTTTACCATATGTATTATAATTTCTCAGGTCTTCTAAAACTAGTGCTGCAGGTGGTTGTGAGCCACCATATGCATACTAGGAACTCAACCTGTGACCTCTCTGCAAAAGCAACAGATACTTGTTACTGCCAAATCATCCGTCTAGCCACAGTTTCTCCATTTTTTCTTTTAGCATCAACTTCCTTTCAATAAACTCATCTCCCATGTTAAATCAAAGACCTACATGTCCAAAAGGAGAGAGAAAAGAAACACGAGGAAACCATATTAAGCAGAGTGATCAAAGAAAGGAGCAGGGTTGAACGAGGAGACTGGGTGTTGTGAACACTAGAAAAAGAAAGACATTAAGAATAGCACAGAAATACAGTGCCAAGTGTAAAAACAAATGCTTGAGGGAGAGAGAGAAAGTAAGAGAAATTGCTGAGAAGGGAAATACAGAGAGTGTTAGTGGCTTCAACAAGAACAGTTTCCTTTATTGAATAGAATTGAAATCATGGAGTAGTGAGATGGTAATGTGAAGGAGTAGCATGGGAATCAAGAACATGAATGATACAGTACCATTCATTAACCACAGAGGACAGCTGACATTTGTCTGTTTCGTGGATCCATATAACTTGTTTCTTCTGTAAAATACTTTAAGAAAGTTCTCCAAAGTAAGAGTGGGCAATTGAGAAGAAATGGAGATAATCAGAGAAGAAAAGAGAGATGAGAGATAAAAACAAAACAAAACAAACAAACAAAAAAACTAAACTTATACAGAGATAAAGAAAAGAAAAGGTCATAAAAATAGGCAAAATCCAAGTCAGAACTTGATAAGTATAGTAAAGGCAAGCCAAGGAGACAAGAGGGAGCATGAGAGATACCCAAAACAAAATACTGAGAAATGCTCAGAGGTCTTGGGGGAACATTCATTCTAACCTTTGCGTTACTAATAGGTGTATTATCAGAATAACTTCTCTTTGATTAAGAATTAAGTTTATTTTATTATGGAATCTGTATATTATTAAAAGGAAGCTTCAGCTTTAAAATTGTAATAGGTACGGTGACAGTGTCTAAAGGTTCATTCCACATGCAAGTGATACTTTATCTCATTTTAATAAATAATAGAAGCCAAATATTAACTAGATACTGACTATATGAAGAACCAATGCCAGTAACTGAACAGATAAAGTAAGTTTTATAATGAATGAGTTTACATACATGCTATCCCAAATCACAAAATCATTGAAAATCCTCAAGTAAAGTGTATGTAGGAATTTTTCAAATAACAAATGTTGATAAATATACAATATAACAAATATAACACATTATATGTAAATAACTCAATTACAGTTATATATATTTATACAAAAGTGTTTCAGTGTGCATTTACATATAATTATAATTATAAATATTCATTTGTTCATATCATATATCTATATTATATATATAAAATACCCAATGAAACTTTTGTCACATGAGGAGTATAAAGGAATTACTATTTAATTTGTAGACCTTCAGCTTTAATCAAAAATTTAACTTTCTTGGATGGGTCTTTATAGCACAATTGTCTAATTATTTCTTATACAAGAATAATGTCAATCTGAGACCCGAGTTCTGAAGCACTCATATTTTATCTCAACAAATCTGAAAAAGTTTTATAAATACAGTGGAAGGACAATAAATATTTTTATAAGGAATAGTTAAATTTATAGCTATGTTCCTTGCTCAGATTTTAGTCATGAAAATGATACAAGCAAATTTTTCAATCTTTAGTTTTAAAAACTAGACCCTGGCTATTTTTGCTTTTTGTACATAAATTCCAAAATTACTATAAGGTCATAGACTTTAAACCTTGCAAATTTTAAAACTTCTTTATAAGGATTAATATTAGGAAATATTTTCAATATTACCAATATCTTCTGAGGAATTGTAGAGATCCTTCAAAAGCAAAAATCACACATGACAGCCCTGATATGAAGACTGTGTAGTTTCCCGACTCACTTAGATGGCTTCACTTACAAAGAAAACTAAGGGAAATTCTATTTATATAATTAATCTTTGAACACAGTATCAACCAATTGCACATTTGTGAAGTTTGTTCCTAGGAAAGAGAATATGAAGAACTGAAATTCCCTTCAGAATGTCTTAGGATTCCCTGTGGGATAAAATGCAGATCATCAACTGGGCATTGCTGATGAAGGTGTGTGCAAAATTCAGGTATGCCCAAAAGACTGATAAACATTTCATCATAATTGACATACCTGGTTGCTTTATGTCAATTTTTGTTTAGATATGAAATTGAATGCAGTGAGTGCTTTGTTGTCATAATGTCTGTACTAATCAAAACATAATTTAAAGCAGTTGTCTATATTTCCTACAAGAGAAAATACAAAATAATATTGTTCTGATATTAAAAATAACATCTTATATTTGGCCATCTCTAAACTCCCTTAGTTCAATCATACATCTGGTAAAAGTTTATATCACGACAAAGAGTAGAGGAAAAACAAAAAACATATGTTATAAAATAGAGGCGAATAACCTTGCTTTTCAAACAGCAGTGCCATGAATTTAAAGATTTGAGGACAAATCAGTCACTTTGTAGAGATTCCATCCACCATCATAAGAAAATTTAATTCAATAAATTAGTCTTTTAGTAGACATTGTATATTCAAAACATAGTAATGTGTGTGTGCAATTGGTATGCACACATAGATTTATATACATACAAATGTTTTGTATAATTGAGTGTATCTCATAGCAATAAATTAAAATGAAATTTATTCCTTGAAATTCTGAAGCTTGCATGGGCAGCCCATATATGGCAGTTCTGTTGAACTTGTCCATATTGGGTTTCACGGTGTAAGCTGATGAGGACGCCTGACCAGGTCTTCCTCAAGAGGGCATCAGAACTCATTACAAATGGTTGTAAGGCACCATGTGATTGCTGGAAACTGAATTCAGGACCTTTGAAAGAGCAGACAGTGTTCTTTTTTTTTTTTAAGATTTATTTATTATGTATACAATGTTCTGTCTGCATGTGTGCCTACGTGCCAGAAGAAGGCACCAGATCTCATTACAGATGGTTGTGAGCCACCATGTGGTTGCTGGGAATTGAACTCAGGACCTCTGGAAGGAAAGTCAGTGCTCTTAACCTCTGAGCCATCTCTCCAGCCCCCAGACAGTGTTCTTAATCACTGAGCCATCTCTCTAGCCCTCTCGAAACAATATTATCCTTTATTTATTTTACTGATCATATAGTCAAAACCTGTGCTCTGCAGTGGTCGGTATGTTTCCATATGACTTTTTAGAAAGTCATTTATTTATCTTTTTGTGCTCCCTCCTCTACCCTATCTTCCTTTCTTCTACTGCAATTTTACCCTTCCTGTTTCAGATCTGAAACAAAAAGCAATATCCTGGATCTATAGAATTTATATGTTAAAATGAATATCCTACCAAAAGGAAAATACATATTCAACACAGTTTCTGTCAAAATTCCAGTACAATTCCTCACAGAAATTGATAAATTATTTTAAATTTCATATGGAATTATAAAATGCCCAGGATATTCCCGCAAAAAGAATCGTGAACAAAAACGAAAGAAGAAAGAAAGATCAAAAGAAAACTTTTGGAGGTATTACAATTCAAGATTTCAAGTTATACACAAAGTTATAAGACATCATTGTATCTGCATATAAAATAGACCCATTGATCAATGGACAGAATTTAGGACCCTCATACAAACTGACTTCAAAATACATATTTAATTTTGCAAAGCAAATAAAATATTAATTGGAGAAAAGACAGAATCTATAAATGTGGCCAGTCAAACTTAGAAGTGACAAGTAGAAAAATGAAATTAGATTCTTATCTCTCACTTCAATAAAAACTCACCTCCAAATGGTCCAAGAACTTCAGCAGATGATATGATACCCTAAATCTGGTAGTGGAACAAGTAAGGGATATACTTGATCTCATTGGTATAGGAAGGGCTTTCTTGAAAGGACTCTGGTAGAGCTGGTGTTAAGACTAGCAATTAATAAATGGGACCTCAAGAAATTAAAATGCTTCTGTACAACTAAGGACATCATCATTTTAATGAAGGGACAGTCTACAAAACTGAAAAAGTCTACCATGTACACATCTGACAATTGGTCATTATCTAGAATATACAAAGAACTAACAAGTGAAATCATCAAAAAGGAGAACAAGACAATTAAAAAATTGGGCATGAATATAAACAGAGAGTTCTCAAAAGACAAATGCAAATAGCTGTGAAACCCTTCAAAATATTCAACATCTTCAACCACCAAGGAAATACAAATTAAAACAAGTTTGATATTTCATCTTATCACAAAACCACACAAGAAGACAAATATGGGTGTGGGTGTGATGAAAGGGGAACACTTACTCACCACTGCTGAGTGTGCAAAATGATATGCCCACATGGAAATCAGTATGGGGGCTAAAAATCTTTAAATACCTTATGCAGCATGATCTAGCTATCCTCTCCTGGTTATACACCCAAAGGACTCTACATCCTGCTATAAGGATACCTGATCACCCATAGTCACTGTGGAACTATTTCTACAGCAGTAGCTATAATATTACTGAATAATAAAATTCAGCTAAAGGAACACATGAACATATTCTCAAAGTTTTCCCACAGCCACATCTCTGATGGAAAAATGCTTTCCTGGTTAAAGTTTTGGATTTCACATAAGTACTAGCCTAAGAAAATTTATCAGAAATTTCTTTAAAATATTTTATAAAATACTGTAAAAGTGAGTGGATATATTACATATATTATTTACATTATACATTTATTTTTGTATATGGAGGTGAATGAGAGATATGTATTCCTATAAATCACCAAATGAGAACATAATATTGTATTCTTACAATACGGTGTATGTCAACTATTATTAGTATATTTACATGGCAGTTTTAAAACATAAACTGT